TGCTGGAGAGAACAAGTGACAGACTGAATACAAGCAAAGCAGGAACGGTATGGCCTGTGGAAATGGGTGGGTGGGTGTATAGCTACACCTGTTTAGCCTTTCATCAGCATGGCGCTGGTCAATATTCAGAGTTAAATGGGAAGTAATTAGCTCCATAACGATGCCTCACACAATCATATTCAGAAAACGCTCTCTCTCTCTCTCTCTTTCTTTGTGGTCTATGCTGATGAAATAGAGCAAGTCAATAGACCTGTCAACAGGATGATGTATTGTACGTGTATGAGAAGGAAAAAGACAAATGAAGGCAATGGAGAAAATAAAACGAATGGAGAATGAAAGCAGCCGGAAGGGGGAGAGCAAAGTGTCGAGAAAGTAAAATGGTAATAACTTAAAATCAGGTTCACAGAGAAGCAGGAAATTAAGACATTTTGTGTAATTGTGTGAAAATTATGTCATTACTCCCCCAAACTTGTAAGATCTTCGGAACACAAATTAAGATATTTTTGATGAAATCCAAGAACTCTCTGAGCCCCACAGAATGCAACATACTCACCAGAAAGATAGTAAAGACATTTTTAAAATAGTCCATGTTACTACAATGGTTCAACCTTAATGTTATGAAGCGACAGTCTTGTTGTGCTCAAAAAACAAAAATAACATCTTTGACAGTCTCTGAAGCTGTTCACATTATAAACACAGCGCAGCGCTTCTGGGTTACTTGTCCAAACGCCAGCTCAGTATAGGCTCAGTAAAATTAAGGTTAAACCACTATAGTCATATGGACTATTTTAATGATGTCTTTATTACCTTTCCAAGCCTTGAAAGTGGCGATTACGTCACTGCCTATGGCTGGTTCAGAAAGCTCTTGGATTTCATCAAAAATGTCTTTATTTGTGTTCAGAAGATGAATGAAGGTCTTACGGGTTTGGAACGACATAAGGGTGATTAATTAGATAGGTTAGCCTTCACGTCACTGTTCTTCGTGTGCATTGGATACCAAAACCACAATAGTGTTGGGTGCTGCTCTGCCATCTGTTGACGTGATTGACAATCATTGAATGATCAGTTTTATGTAAATTACTCTGATAATAGTGAGTTTTAGAGTGCAGTGTACACCAGAATTAAATCCCGGCCAAAAAAAGCAACCTGGGCATCACTACTCAACTTGTATATGCCATAGTGATGTTTACACTTGTGAATTTTCTTTGTTGTTCTGACAAAGAAAATTAACAAGGGTAAACCTTGTTAATTCCTTCTGGCTTCAGACCTTTTCTGCCTCAAAGTGACTCTTCTATTGTCTGGTAAAGCATGGTAATACGTGTGCTCCGTTGTATAATTTTCATTATTCGCAATACTAAACAACACTGTGCTACTGTAGCGCATCTACAGAGCCGGCAGCCTGTGTGTGTGAGGATTCTCTCGTCATTTCAGCATGGCGAAAGAGAGTATTAGAGGCGTGATCTGCACCATAGATAATTAAAACAATTTTTATTGAAACTATCATAGCCTACAGTCTTATTATTTAAGTGTACACCTTTCAGATAACTCTTCACAAAAAAATACTATTTACTTCTTAATGTGTAAAACTTTTTAAATTGCTCAAAACTACTAAATTCACTTTTAATGTAAATTCAGAAAAAATATTACAGTCCATTCCACTGGAACGATGTAAACACAAATGTGGAGTGATACAAACAGTTACATTGCAAATAAACATTACAGTGCTGTTGTACTGGTAATGGAGCTTGGCCTATAAATTTTCAGAGCCGTTGTTTAAAAACAATAATTAGCTTTGCATCATTGCTTGAATTTCTCTATTTATTTTTCTAAGAATATGAGATATCTGTCATGTCACTATAATTAAATTAATCAGGCTGAGCAGGAAAGATCAAGAAGGAAATGAGGTGCGAGTGTGTGGCATGTGTTAGATTTACATGGAAACAACTTCTGTGCTTAGAGACATTTAAATTACTGGTGTGAAGATATTTGGCTCTGCTGGATGTGTGTCTGTGTGTTGCAGCGAATGTTATTTTATGGAAGATTACTCTGGATAAGAGCACTTGCGTTTGTACGATCATCCTTTTGCTGTATTTGTGAATGTACAAGAGACAGTTAAAGGGACATGATGCAGTTTTTTTTAGCTTAACTGAACAGCTTCGGAGTGAAATGGTTGTATGACTTCTTTTGGGTTGAATGGTGGCGGTCTAACCCTCTAAGTCGAACACCTTATATGTTTCTGGTCAAACGTATGACCAGCCTTTTAAAAATGACTTGTAAATATTGGCTTTTCTTTCATTTAGGACTGGTTTTGCATTTTTTTTTTTGGAACTGATTGATCGTAGCCCTCCTTTATCTGAGCTTATGCACCTCAGTGAAAAATGCATTATTTGTGAATGAATTTGTCAATATTCTACAAAATATAGAAATGGCCCGGTTTATCACACTACTGTGCTTTAATATTTAACCAGAAATTTTGTTTTTAAATGCTTTTATTTTGTTCAAAATGGAAAAAAGTTACACGGTTGTTCCCAGTCAGAAATGGCTCATAAATATCTTGTTATGCTTGTTTTCTTTCAATTAGGATAGGTTTTGTATATATTTTTGCATCTGATTGATCATAGGCCTTATTGATCTGAGGATAAAGTTCATCTCTGTGAAAAAGAAAGCCTGTAATACTGAAAATAGTTTGCTTGTGCAAATGAATTTGGGTGTGTGTGTTTGCAGTAGCGCTGGTGTGCGTGTATCCACACATGCACAGGTCTGAGGCCTTTATCTTTGAAAACACACATGTAAATATGTGAACATGAATGATGAACATGCTCCTGAAGGCTATGACTGTCTTGAAATGTAAATAAGAAATGTTTCGATCTTATTTTCGATCTCCTCCATTCATTTTTAATGGATAGTCATATTCGACCAATATATGCTCAGATCAACAAGGCCTATAATTAGTCAGTTTAAAAAAAAAAAAAAACATGTCCGAAATGATAGAAAACAAGTTGACAAAAAAGATTGACTCAAATTTTTGATGATAGTATAGCATAACGAGAGATTTATAAGCTATGTTTTGTAGGTTGCCATTTTTGACAGAGAACCACCTTAAGTGTGGCCTAAGTTAAAAGCGTTTCAAAACAAACATCATGGGTAAACATTAAAACACACTTGTGTGATGAATATTCTATTACATTGTATTTAATGTTGTGAGTAGATAAGTGTGTCATCTGAGTATCTGTGACTGAACAACAGTATGAGTTGCAGACTGTCATGGTGTGGTGTTGCAGAAAGACAAGGCAAGCAGGCAGAAGGTCCAAATAAACGTCTTTACTAAATATACTTCAGGGTAAATACAGACAGGCAAGTTACACACACAATAACATAATCAAGAACCGACAAGGACTGACTAAACTGAAGGAAACTAAATACAGAGACTGATGAGCTGAAGACAGGTGACACAGATGATGATAATTAACTAGTGATAATTAACACAGGTGAGACAACTGAAGACAAACGAGGAGCCGGAAAACTCAACAAGGAAGACATGTGACGGATCAAAACAAAACAACAGGACCGATGAACAACAGTCGCATAACATCGGTTAATGGAAACACCGTCATTTCGCAATAGTTTTTTATCGACATTTGGAAAATATCGCAAAAGTTTTGTGCAAATCTGTAATGGAAATGCGTGTTGTGACACAGACTTTCTTTGTTACATGATCCCCTTTCCTGATTTTCACTATAGCAGATATCAATATCAGATTTTCACTAGAAGATTATCGTGCCCAAAAAAGTTCATAATAACATTGTTATTACGATATCTATAAAAGTTTTCAAAGAAAAAAAAGCTATTAGTCAAATTCATCTTTTACTTTGTTAATGTTGTGTTTTCTCTTTTTTGGTCAATGATTCAAACCCCATATATGAGTGTTGGGAGACAGACCGTTTGTAAACATAATTGTATATAAAAAAAGAACCTTAATGTTGATCGGCACGTCTGCAGTCAGTCTTTCTCAACTTTTTTTTTTTTTTTGGTGTTAACCAAAGAGTCTCTTTCATTTGTCATCTCCTCACCCCCCTACTAACCCCACCCACTATTTTGGAATGTCAACTAGAAACTAGCACAAAATTAACTTAAAACAGTGGGGAAAAAAGTAAAAAATAAAATAAAATAAAAAATCAACTGGATTTGGTATTTCACCTTTATCAAACAGATGGTGATAAACAATGGTAATTAACACCACAGTCCCAAATTGATTTTGCATGACTTGCAGGATGAATCTAGTAGCGCAACAACAAATGTTTTCAATCCATAACAACAATCCTCACTTAATCTTTAACCTGCTGAAAAATGCAGCATAATCAAGCTTGAATGATTGAGTTGGTGTAGCTGGTCCACCAGCACTCCCACTTGCCATGCTGGATACCATCATCCAAAACGTACCTTATGCTGGTGATTTTTCAGCTGGGAAGTTAGTTTTCAAATATACACTCCGTCGAAGCAACTCTTTCAGATCGTCATCTGCAACCATAATGGTTTCTGACACATTGTTTATCTTGTCCTTGAATCTTTGGAAAAAAAACTGCTTGAGTCTCTTCCTTTGATGACAATGAAATGAACTGAGCAGGAATAATATGAACATTCCCAGAAAAGATTATTTTTGGAGAAATATTGATGTTATTTAAGCTGGACATGGGTCAGAGTGGGAGGAGAAGACTGTACCACTACTCTTCGAGCTTTGATTGTAGCCCCCTCACATATGGGTGGAATTATGCGGATAAGAATCTCGCTTGGCTATTGAAAATGAAACATTAAATACACTTGATCTAAATAATTAGATACTGAGCTTTTTCATAGCCCACAAATCTTGAATGAAATTGTTTCTCATCTCAAAGTCATGTGTAATATAGTTGGGGAATTATCCACAGAAAGCATTACATGTGGAATGTTGTTTCAGAGTAGTTATTTTTCATTTCTGGATCTCTTTCTTTCTGTCTTTACAGCTTCAGATAACAGTCAGAGGTTTCAGGAAACATGTTTTGCATTTGCATTGACGCCACAGCAAGTCCAACAAGTCAGCAGCTCAATGTAAGTGTTTTTTTTTTAGTTTTTTTTTAAATTATTATATTTCGTTCTGAAAATCCCTAAATAAGAAGAGAAGTTTCTATAAGGCTCCTGTTATCTGTTATTCAATTGTTATCTCAAAGTAGTTTTTACTTTCTCTTTTTGCAGGGACATATCGGGGACCAAATGTGACTTTACTGTGCAAGTACAGTTACGGTAACCCATTCATGTTCTAATGCACTGATTTTTCACATAAATATGATCTAAAGATTCGGAGCACTAGCCTGATATTTTCTGCTTATATTATAAATATGACGTTATCCAGGTTTTGTCTATCAGAGACAAGCTGCCCCCAGGAGGACCACTTTCCCCCTAATCTTTGTGTTAAAGTCAATGGGAAACCGTGTAATCTCCCAGTAAGTTAAACTACAGTCCATTTGTCCATCTATCCATCACCCTAAACTGAGACACATGGTCTCTTTAGCTTTTTTAAAGAATGATAAAATTGTCCAAACTGTTGACCTCTACACTAAATTACATTTTCATAATGCTGTTTGTTTGAATTTTAACTTAAAATAAATACTAATTCATTCATTTTTCATTTATTGTCATCCTATTGTTTTTCACCAGGGATATCTGCCTCCTACCAAAAATGGCGTGGAACCAAAGAGGCCCAGCAGACCCATCAACATTACCTCACTGGTCAGACTGTCCACAACTGTCCCCAACACCGTTGTAGTCTCCTGGACATCAGAAATTGGACGGGTAGGTTAATAAAATCCCCTTCCCCTCATGTCCCAATTCATAAAAATGCAAGTGCTTTGTTTTTAAATGTTTTTTTTTTCCTCACCTCAGCCCTTTACTGGAAATGAAAAATGAAAATGAAAATGTATTTTTAGCACCTCATACGTGTCTTGCAGCCATTTGCAGTCACATGATGGCAAATTATAGCATTGGCTTTATGCACATTATGTGAAAAGGTCAGCATGTATGCAGTATTTTAGTGTTTTCTCGGAATGATGAGTTGAGGGACAGCTAAAAATAACTAAACTTGCCCTTGTTTCAGTCTTTTTTTTCAGACAAACAAGACCTTTTGTTGAATGTTGATGGAAATGACACCAAACAGAAACATTAAACTTGCGCTTTATATTCATTTAAATGCTTTGTCTATTCTGGGTTTTGTGCTCTACACTAAATGTATATATTTCCCTCCAGATTTATTAATCTGAAATACTTTGTGATCTTTGTGAATGCTCATCTACTTTTGATATGTTCAGGAAATGCATTTGTGATGAATGACTGCTCCTGTGCATTAGCAGTTAATGCATATTAAGAAAAATAATCTAGATTTTTATAAAAAATGGGCCACTGTTTCCTTCTGAGACTACTGTAGGCAAACAGGAGTTCATTACTGCGTCCACAGATCCCTATATCTTATAAGTGAACACATTAATCTTCTTGCGCATAAAACATCACTGCACCTACTAGTAATATTCAGCTTCATGAATTATGTAATTTCTTATCATATAACTTGCCTCGGCAAGCAATAAGCAATCCTAGCGTTCTCTGTGGTAGATTCCTTAAATTTTTCACATTTTCTCAGAAGTCGTGAAAATTATATGAGCTGTATATTCTCACTGAATCTGAAAGGCTCTTTATTATAGAACCTGTTCATATGGCACTGATAGAACAATGATCTGACCTGAAAATATAAATAAATGCTATTAGCATCACATTGTCTCACAGGGATATTTATACATATATACATTGTCTATACTGTATATATACACACACACACACATTGCATATTGTTTTACAGTATAAAGATGTTTTATGGGATGGGATGTCACTTTGTCTCTAGTAACATATCCACTGTTGGATTGTTTTTCTTTTTCAGAGTTATTCTATGGCAGTGTACCTGGTCAAGCAGCTGTCATCCACAATGCTTTTGCAGAGGCTACGGGCTAAAGGCATCAGAAACCCAGATCACTCCAGAGCACTCAGTAAGCATACACATTCTCCATTGGAATAGAGCTGTCCTAAAATAAATGTTACATTTATGAGCCAATGGTTCCTTCTGCAGTTTCCATTGGGATTTTAGAACAGTAGTTTTGATTTAGACTACTGTTCTGCAGTAAAAATACTTTTATTCAGCAAGGATGCAATAAATTGATCTAAAGTGAAGTTTTCTATTTATTTTCCAAAAGATTTCTATTTTTAAATAAATGCTTTTCTTTTGAATTTTCTGTCCATTAAAGAATCCTGAAAAAACTGCATCATACTTTTTACAAAAAAAAAAAAAAAATCAACAGTGATAATAATGAAAAATGTTTATTGAGCACAAAATCAGCATATTACAAAGTATCATGTGACACCGGAGACTCTAATGGCTGCTTTGCCATCACAGGAATTTACATTTTAAAATATATTAAAATAGAAAACAATTGTTTTAAATTGTAATAATGTTTCACAATATTACAGTTTTACTGTATTTTCGATTAAAAAATGCATCCCAAAAATTTTAACTGTTCTTTAGATATGTGTTTAACATTTAATTGACTTTTTCACGTTTAGTTCTAAACCTTAATTGCCTCAAATGGCAATTATGAAGCCTCTGTGTTTAATTTGCGTACAGGTTACTAAATGAAGACTTAAACGACTGAGTCGCTCTGTTTTTTAGTGCTAGTTTAATAAATAGAAATAGTCTGTGTCCTCTTGTCTCTTCCTCTCTCCAAGGATAAACTATTTTGTGGCCTAATAAATGATTGGCATCTTATTTTATCCAATTTAAAACTTTAAAAATTGTGCTCCATGGACTGCAGTCAATAATCATTTTCTTAAACCTATCAAAACTAAGTAGTGCTTGATTGTGTATACCACAATGTTTCAGTCTATATAGCATAGAGTGATAGAGCCAAGTGCATATAGGATTGTTCTAAAACTGACAGCGATGCAACATCACAATTCTGCTTTGCACAGATTGCTCTTTGTTCTTGTCTGCCCTTCAAACCTTCCATGATGCATTATGATTTTATGCATCAACCTATAAACTGTCTAAAGAGGCTTGTTCATACTGAAAGAACGCCCTGATGCCCTTGTTGTAAACAAGCTACAGCACACCAGCCTAAGGCAGTTCAAACGAATTCTGAAGCACTAACATTTGTTTTCAGCTTCATTACTCCAGTCATCAGTGTCACATGATCCTTTAAAAATCATTCTAAAATTCTGATTTGGTGCTCAATAAATTTCTCATTATTATCAATGTTGAAAACAGCTGCTTAATATTTTTGTGGAAACTGTGGAAAGTTCTTTGATGAATAGAAAGCATTTTTTTAAAACTGAAATGGTTTGCTTCATATTCTGAGTTTGAATTTCACTGTTTTTATTTTCTTTTGAGGAATACTGAATCTATTTTTGTGCAAGTGAGATAAGTGAGATGAGTAAATGCCTGCTCACATTTAATCTAGAGCTACAATAACCGTCATGTTTACACAGTGCACACAACATCTCTGCACATTACTTAAAATGTCTGTCAACATGAGGTCAGAAGATCTGCCAGTCAATAAATGGAAGAACAAAATAATAATATACTACTTGGTTACTCACGTAACCTCAGTTCCGTGAGTTAGGGAACGAAGTATAGGAACGAAGTATTTGAGGGAAAACTCCTTTTTCTTGATTTACTGAAACCTATATGTAAAACACGCATTTTGCAGCTGTGCAGCCAGCCATTGAGCATCTGACCGCTCATAGGCTGTGATGCAGCAACTGCACATCCAATGCGTGGCGCCTCTGACAATATGACCAATGAGATCACTCTACGTCAAGGATTGCCCAACCCTGCTCCTGCCGATCGACTGTCTTCTTACACAGTTTATTCTCCAAAACCTAATCAAACACACCTGAAGCAACCAATTAAGGTCTTCAGGTTCACTTGAAAATTGTGTTTTGATTAGGGTTGGAGATGAACTGTTGCAGGACACTCGATCGGCTGGAGCAGGGTTGTCCATCCCTGCTCTATGTCTTTTACATTTAAGAGCCCGTCAAGGGTCGTGGCCTCTGCCCTATATTAGTCCCCGAATTCGCCAATATAGCAGGTTATATGACTGAAGCGACACTAGCCAGCTAGTACAGTGCGCC